GTGCTATGGCGACGGTTGTGAGATGGCTGAAAGGCAGATCTCGTATTTGTTGCGCGCTCGAGGACTGAATGTATGCCTTCGCGAGTACATGCATGAAATTTAAAAATGGCATCTCATCTTCCTCAACAGCATCTATAAGAAAACGAAATGACGAACCGCTTGAGATTGATAAAGTGGTCAGAAATGGCAGATGATGCATCAGCACCGTGACAAGTGTGATGATCTCCCTTCCTTGATACGCAATCGGTTTGCCATGAAGTCTTTCATTTTTCATCCATTTCGAATAGTCATTATTCAACCGAGCCTTTTCTGCTTCAAAATTTGCCGTTTCTCTATTTGGAACGTAGAGATCGTCGAGATCGAAGTTCTCGACTGTATCATTCTGATCGCCGTATTCGCTGTGCTCGAGTATACAATCCCGGACGTACCAGCCTAGGCGTGGGGAATCAATTATCTCGAAAATCCTGCTATCGCTTATTGCCCCGACATGGAAAGGGTTGTTCTCCGAGATTAAGCGCGAGTGGGTTTCGACTAACGAGCGAAAGGTATCCCAATGCTCTTTGCAAGATATGGCAATGTTGAAACAAGACGTGGGGTCAAGATAACCCATAATCTCAAGTTTGAGCTCCGTGGGCAGTGTGGTGAAAGACATTTGATGTAGCAGGGCGAGATTGATGATGAGAGTATTGGAGCATTAGATTGAAGATTGTTATGATGATGAGGACTTGAAAATTCTACCTGATATTTAATGGTGAGACCATACGCCGCACCTCCAAACGGCACCAAACCTACAAAGGAAGGTAGAGAAAGACGCTGGAGCCTAGCGAATAAAGGCCTGTAATCTTGTCATTCAAAAAAGAAGTAGTCTGAATAAATGTTCGTACCACGCCCTGCTCCCTCAGCGGTGCATTTATACATATATAGATAACTTGATGATAATTGGAAAAATCATACTTAGCAAAAGCCTGCTCTGGGGGATGAAACTGCTACCGCTTATTCTCAGTAAACAGATCATGCAACAAGAGGCTGCGTTCAATACATCAACCTACCGACGGCACTTGAAGCACATACTTCGAGAGCAGAATTCAAACGAGTGTAATAGTCTCAATAAGTACCACAGTATCCAGAGCATCCGTGAAGTCTAAAAAGGTACCATCTCAGACAGTAACCACTATCTATTTCTATCCATCATCTATAAATTACCCCCTTCATAACCCCTGCACTCCATCGACTCACTTACGCGGCGACCTTCACCTCCTCCCCATGCAGCGACCCCTCGACCTCCTTAACAACATACTCCTCAACTTTCTTCGGCTGACCCCGTCTCCTCTCTTTGCACTCCTTCGTCTCGACCAAATCCGCCTTCTCCGCCGTCGACTCCGCCGTGAAAACAAAATCCCGCACTTCGCAGTTGCGGTACGTCGTGTGGATCATGGGGTTTTCCGAGTCGCGGTCTTCGGTTAGGAAGTGCGCAATTGCGCCGTGGGTTACGACGATGATCTGTGATGGGTTGTTAGTTTGGATGGATGGATGGATAGAGTGTATGGGAAAGGGAGATGTACATGTGATTCTGGGCGTTGAAAGGCCCATTTGCGGAAATCGTGGGCGCGGGCTGAGAGTTTTTCGAATTCGTATTCGTAGTAGCCCGTCTGTTGGTAGGATGGTTAGCATGATGCCGATTTTATTTTGTTCGCACTTTAATTGTACTTACGTTGCAGTTCCACCCATCCGTCACCTGACTTCTGTCAATTTTCTTCGGGTCAAATTTCAAATCTTCACCCTCGAACATCTCTTCATACGCTTTTTCTAATAAGCTAGCATCGGTTCCAGTATCAGCTCCTGCGTTGTGATTAGCAAAACTTTTTTTTCCCCCCTCAAGAAAGCCATGAGAATAAAACTCTTTATCCTCCGACCCCACTAGGCCACCCGGCAGTTGTGAAGCAAATAAAAACGGGGATAAGAAGGAAGAAAAGAGGAAGAAATACCTGAATCAGAAACTTCCTGCAGAACCGGCATCAGCAAGAACGGGACTTCATCTCTCTTTAGCGTCGGTCCAAAGCTGTACGAAGCCGTTTGCACGGTACGACGCAACGGTGACGCAACGACGAGGTCGGCTGTCGCGTGGTGAGGGAACACAGCAGACAGATCTGCGCATTGTTGTTTGCCCTTTGGGGTTAGAAGAGGGTCGGGGATAGTATAGTCGCGCTGTGTTGATAATCGTGAGTACATGTGCCGGTTGGTCAGGCGGCGAGGGAAAATTTACAGTTTGGTTGTGGAAGCCTTCAGCGTGGCGGACGATGGATATCTTAGGAGGCATATTGAATCTCGAGGGAGCTGAGAATTTGGTGTGGTCGATTTTGGTGTTGTTAATATTCTTATGAAAAGCTGTGTGCTCTCTTCTGTATGGTTGTAGAGATTACAACTATGACTCAGTGAAGTGAGGAATGAACAAATCTTCCCGACAAGAGTATTTATTTGTCTACGGGACAATGAAAACGTGATGGGGACGATAAAGGCCACGGGATTATGTGGAATTTTTTTTTTTCCCAATTATCATTACGCTGCATTGGTAGTTATTTGTAGCAGAGCCACGCACCATTCAATGCTACGTTCAGTATTCACGACAACAAAGATATCGCAAATAATTGCATGAGCTAACCAGATCCAGCGAGAGGTATACCCAATACAGAATATTCTGCCACGCGGTGCAATCTGCGGTGTAATCAGGGAAGGTGTAGCGATGCCCAGTCTTCCAAACGTTCTAGAATTGACAGCTTCGGAATTTCCTTAAGGCGTGATTCTGACTTTGCTTACATCAGCCTTCGGCAAACCTGCTGTTTTCGCCTTTAATGGTCTGTGGAATGGTCAACAGACTCTGCTCTTGGTATCACATCCGTGATGTCGTCGTTTTGGCCACAGCTTAGTCCATCTCTGTCTCGCTCTCAGGCGCGGATGATAGCGAGGAGCCGAACGACGAAAACAAAAGCGCGGACTTGTCCAGTTGCGACCGCGGCCGTGTTGGAGGTTCTAGCCCAGAGGCTATCGCCAATACTTCGACCAGACCCAAGAGCCTCTCTGAAGTTGCCGTCATTAATATTTTACTGTGCTCTTCCTCTTCTGCGTTTCCCTTCCTTCCTTTGCCCGAACCATACACGTTTTGTCGAGCTTCAATACCGGACTCAACCGCCTCTTTCAGGGAGCTAGTAAACTCCACAAGATTTTCTCTGATCATATAGAGGAACATCCGTTCAAGAATGAGTGAGATCTTGGCGTTGTGAGCAAAGCTTTGAGACGTGGCTCGGAGAGGGAGTAATTCCTGCTCAAGATGCTCCTGTGTGGGATGATGTATAAAGTAGTTTGGTGGCGCAGATGCTACATATGTTAAAAGGAAGTTTCCGTTTAGAGCCAATTGGACCATGGGTGATAGGCGTGAAGTTGAAATGAGTGTGCTGAAAACGCAAGTCTGCATGTCATCCGCTCTGAGTAGTTCAGTATAGGTATCACAGAAGTCCTCCAGTCTTGTGAAAAATTCGGGCAGTTCTTGAGCTACTCTAGCAAGAAGAGCAATGAGGCGTTGGCGTAGCTGTATGGAATCCCTACCGCCTAGCATCTCTACCCCATCTAAGTCCGAGGCGCGCCGTGTGTCTTTGTCACATTCTTCAGATGTGACAGATGATTTGCGCGGTCGAGCCCTGGCCCTGGGAGCGTCCAGCATCAACGTATCCTCATCATCGCTGGCGTAGTCGCCGAGTTGGCCATTCTCAAAGTCAAGTGTTGCAGTAGGTTTGCTATCATCTGTCCGAGGCTTTGGGTCTGCCGTCTCTTTGGTCCAAATCTCAGGATAATGGGAAAGTGATGATTTGCTGCCCATAGCAAGCACAGCTCCAACGATGCGTCGGCGAGTTGGGCGCTGTGTAGGCTGCTCGCTGCTTATGTATCGCCAGATCAGGCTGCTTTGTAGGATGCTATCCTTTTCGACGCCCCTTCTTTTTGCCTCTTCACAGCATGTGTTCCAATCACTTTCGAGGAAATCAAGCATTACCTCCAACCATAACTTCCACCGTGCCCATCGATTCTTATGCGCAACCGAGCAATTGAAAGCCCACCCCACTATATGCCAGAAATCATCTGCGCGGTGCCAAATGCTCAGACTATCCGCTTCTTTTATCTCTAGTCGCTCTACGTCTCCACCTGCGCCAGGCGATGGACTTCCTCCTCCATTCTTATAAGCATGAGCGCGCCTTCGGGAACGTTCTTCCGGGAACGAGAGTGCTTTCCTCACTACTTTGTATGCTGGGCCTTCTATAGTATTGTGAATGCAATGAAGATATCGCAGGGCTACATCTGAGCCCTTGATGGCGTCAATTGCTGTTGCTTTCGTGGTGATCGGGGGGTAGACTACGAGAGATGATGCAAAGGCTATGTGCGCGGCTGGTGCGAGTAGCCCGACGTAAGGTTTCGCAGGAGTGGAGATAGAGGCACCAGCAGTCAAAAGGGATTGCAGCAGTCCGTATCCCTTAGTGTCTGTACCAAGAATTAGCAGGTACCATGACGATTTGATGAGTTGATGTTTGTGCAAACATACATTCTCCAGCTTCTAAATATGATTTGACGTGATTGGCAAGTTCCCAACTCAAGTCCTTGGTCGGGCGCGGCTGAGGGCGTCGTGGGCGATTCCCAACAGCATCAAAAGCGGCATTATGCGGCTTCGTTATGGCCATCCTTTGAGGTCAACTGCGGAGGTGGAGTGCAAGGGCCAATACGCGTCATGACAAGAACGAGGTGTCGCGCGGTCACGTTGCGAGTCTTAACCATTAAGCGAGGTGCCTTATCGATTACCTGGGTATGCAAGGAATTTAGGTATCGATCAAGCGTCAGTAGCGTACTAAGGTCAGTGGGTCATCCCTCAGGCATCAACAAAGAAAAGCATGCTTCAACAATTTTTTCTTGAGTTATATGATAAATAAATCATCCGAAACTCATCAATCACATCACAACAATCCGTTATGGTGTATCGGCTAGCATCCGTCGCTTTCATCATGCCTTACAGCACAATGTCAGCTACCGACGAGAGCCGGGTTCGACTCCCGGTAACGGAATTTCCTTTTTTTGCGTTTTGTGGTGTGTTTTTTCTGTCTGTCGTGGTCGTGAGGGATGATTTTTTGCTTTTTCAAGGTGGTGGTCTGAGCGTGGGATGGGATTTAAGATGGACAGGCTAGCCCGCTAGGGGTTGGCGCCTTCGCGATCAGTGGCACATAGCATTCAAACTACATGTAGCTACTACTCAAATACATACTATACACCTTGCATGCAACCATCTCTTGATACATGGCGGCTGTCTCGTGAAGACTAGGAAGAAGAGCGGGTGTAGCGTTGGCTATCTCACGGAGCTGCAATGACGACAGCAGAACCAAAACGAATGTGGGTAGGGTAGGCGAGAAAGTGCATTACAGGTTTTGGCTGGGCTTGGGAAAGTGTGTCAACCGCACTTTCTACTTTGAAATACTGTTAAACAGCCTTTTAACATACCTTCTACAGGCTGTTAATAGTAATTCTAGAGTTTGATTTCTGTCAGACCTCAATCCCGGGGTGCGCCAAACCCCATAATGTGGTGAGGACACACGGTAGTGATTGAGTAATTGTAGAAGTTACTAAGATGCCCTATTATTCATATTATCTGCTATTTGCAAAGAAACTATACTGATGGCTTGGGAAAACGCAACAAACATGTATCCGTCAACATCATGCATATTAGCTCGCGCAGCTTTGAAAGGCACTCAAGTGCTCCCATCACTCCAGCTGGAACCGGATAGGACGAAGATCTCCCTCAATAACATGCATACAAAGAAGAGAATGAATAATAATATCATTGTGTAGTAATAGAATTACATGCAGTACTAACACTCAAACAAAGTCCGATAACGTCCTCAGTCCGACACACCAACACCATATTACTGTCCTCGCGCGGCCGGCACTCCTGCCAGTCCACCTTAAACCGGAAGGAAAGCACGATGTATGGTCCACGAGACCATCCATGTCTGGCCATCTTCAGGTAAACTATTACTCCCACGTCCTCATTCCAGTCTGCTATCCACCATCCTCATCAGTCTACTGTCCACCCTCCTTTTCCCTTCTACTACCTCCCCCGCCGCCCCGCTCCCACCCTCTCCCCTTTCCATCCACTGTCCACCCCCCTTTTTCTTCTGCTGTCCGTTAGTTTACTATCTCGATCTCTAAGCCAGCAATCTAGAATACACCCTTTACTCACATCCCGGAAACACATGCCAAAAACTGGGGTGGGGGGTGACGAAACCATCGCCGCTCATGTCATCCTACCATTAGTACAAGAAAGCGGAAGCCTACAAGAGTCCGCTCGACGCGGGAGCGAGAGCGAGAGCGGCGGTGAGAATATGACCAAGAGCGAGTCGTGATGGTACCCCATGGTGAGATGTTCATTGCCATTCTTACCTTTGTAAGGAGCCTCACTAACGTTCCTGAAAAGACCATCGTTTCCACACTCCCTTTTCGTACCCAACCACACCGTACACCATACGCAACTGCGTCGTCACTGCCTATAACACACCCACCGTACGCAAGCTCGTCCCTGCTCATAAAGTACCCGTCGTACGCGCACGGCTACCGGTCCTGTTCACGAGACAGCCGCCACCGCCACCGCGACCGTTCCGCTCAATCCCAACCACAAGACAGCCGTCGTGGTAGACGCAACGATAGATATCATAGATATAATCAGTCTTCAAGGACGTCCCGGTTCTTTAGGAAATCTCACTCCCCAAGGCAAGATAGTTACAGTGGCAGACACAGCTGTCGATATGGCTACGAATACGATCCTTCCCACTCCAGGTCTCGCTCCCCACCAAGAGATCCCAGACAGCCACCCATCAAGAACGAGATGGTCATCAGCATTCACAACCCAGTGAGAATATGAGTAAGCATGAAGGTGGCCACCGCGGAACGGAAGAGGAGAACGTTGGTGATATAGACCCATTCTCTGGAGAGAATGTTGAGGATGTGGTCCCTTTTTCTGAAGAGAACATTGACGACAATCAAGAGGAGGATCCATTTGTAGAGAACGATCCATTCCTAGAAGAGGATCCATTCGTAGAGGAGGAGAAGGTTGCTAACAAGGGTGAAGAGCTCGCCACCGATACAAATCCATCCCTAGGGGACACTAGGTCAAGATCAAGGTGTCGTCTCGAGGAGTGGCTCTTCCGTAAGGATTGGCACTCGGATCGATCGTCAGATGAACATTATGAGTACCAAACGCCTTCCAAAATCGACGAGATGGACACAGTTACCACACCACAGCATTCACGTTCTTCGCTACCTCCACGACCTCCACGACCTGCAGATTCAGGACGTCCACATCCAGGTCCTTCACGCGTCGACGGCATCACAATAATTGTTAAATAATTCCAGACTGTTCTCGAGCTGCTTCTGAACTCTAAACGGGGTTGTAACATTGTTATTTAAATGACCAAGGTGTCGAGAAGGACATATGTACCCGGGCAGCGTGGATGGTGTGGTCTCGGCGATATTCTGGACGTTCCCGTGTAAGCATTCTACGATTTCATTACAAAGGATACACTTAACCAGCTTGCCCAATCGATCGTTGCTGTTTGGCGTTTTCTCAGCACGAGCAAACAAGCCCTTCGAGGAATCCAAGGACGAAACTAGATGTCAAAGTTAAACCAACTGCGGGCCAACAAGACAAAGTTAGGCACCACTATTGACCGTCGATCAAAGCTTACAGTTCGCATATATTTTTCATAGCGTAGCAGTTGTGTGTAAGGAAATAATTACAAGTGGTACCTTTTCAACTAATCACTACCTACTCATCTCCGCACGCCGATTCCTTCTACTACGGCTACCGACATTCGCAAATTTATTACCCGGGCCGTACCTGAAGGCGAGAGTGTCACGATCCTTGTCCGATCTGTTGACGATTTTACAAAAAACCCGGAAACGATGGAGTCTTTTCTGCAGATGTGTCAGGACTCCATGACGGTGTGCCAACTGATATTTCAGATCGGTGTGACGGCAGCAGAACTCTCAATACCCACACAAAGTTGCAGAGCTCTTGCTGAGATTGTCGAAGTTCCTATCGACGAGCTCCTTAATTTTCTAAAAAACGGCATTCCCAGTGCGCTTGTACGTAGGGTCGTTGATGTTTGGGACGTTCTTGAGCGATACAAGAATCTGAACATTGGTATGAGTTTCCAGATGAGACTGCATTCGGGAAAAAGTTCTTACCCTCGTTCCGCGTATCTTCTTTGTCCTCCACCAAGCTATCCCCATGGCAAGGGAAATAATAGTGATGGTGAATACGGATTGGGAATCGCGTGTGCGTCCTCATACCGAATTCCGATACTCGCCTCCTCACGTCCCTCCAGTCGAGGACAACAAGATCCCCTACTTGTCCGGTCGAAATGATCACTGCGAGCCTCCACCCCCGCCCGTAGCGCACATACGTATGACAACGAACACAACATCATTAAAAAAGGTTTTACATCAAACGATCGAGTTGAAAACCGACGTTCTCCTCTTATATCATCGCGCAATCAATCTGGACTCGAGCACCAGCGGCAACTGCGAGAACGAATCTGTATGCTTCCCCCAACTTCATCGCTAGGTTTAACTAAGTGGGACATGCTTGGCTACTTGTGTGGATACCCAGCATCCTCAATAGGGTATAGGGATGGGTGTAGTCGAATTTCCACGTGGTCCCCGCTGCGGGAACTAATTTTAGTTTGCACTACATATCCCGGTCTGTGGACTAGAGCCGAAATGGTGACGAAGTATGTTGCCTCTTTGGCTTCCGCGCTGACATTTACATGAGGGAGCGATAACGTTAGGAGATGGCTTTACATGCACACCTCACAATTCAGTACAACGTTTTCAAGATAGTAAAACATTTGGCTAACAAATATTTCAACGCCGGATCACAAATCCACTTCCATTCGAGTCAATTGATACAAAATGCCTAAAACTAAAATTGTTGGCCTTACATAGCACCTCAGTTTGGTGCGTATGCACTACAATCTTCGTGAATCGTTCGCACGTGACATCGATGAGGCTCTAATCACGTGGCGCCGATTAGCCCAGCCCCTGCCATCTGAAACGACGTCGTGCATGTAACCAGCGCTGCAGACTGCTGTCCCTCACCACATTCGCGAGGACAATACCGGTCAGCAATACTGTTGATGCACAGCCGCCCAATGAGCTCCGCTTCACCGTTACACTCGCTCTACTCGGCTCACTACCAATGGCTGGCTAACTAGCCTGGCTCCCTCAATCTCAAAAGGCCCCCCCTCCCCCCTCACTCGGCCGCCCACATATGTCCTGTTCCCCCAAACCGTTTAGGTCCCTGTCGGCGATCTGAGGACGCTTGGGCAGAAAGCAAGCGTTGACAATTGTTGCGGTGGTGGGCAACATGGCTACACACTCACGACTGCGCCGCCACGCGCCCGCATAGCCTTTAGTGTCATTCTAGCCTGCTGCCTCTGCTTTGCCTTCTCGAGTGCTTTCCCCGGGCTGGTGACGGGCCATCACTTCTCACGGATCGACCATCAACGGAAGGGCATCAACCGGCTACTCTCTGCTCGGCCGACCCGACTCCCCGACCACCATCCCGCCGCGAAAGCAAGTTACCGCTTACATGTAAAATGTAGGATTGGAGCTTGGCGGCCTCCAGATGACCTAGCAGCCAGGGTCTAAGGGGCCGGGGAAAGCTTGTTCGTCCTGACGCCGACTGCCAGCGCTGCACAGAACAGCTACGCTATGTAGCGGCTACAGTACGACACATCGTTCGGAGCTCTCGACTAACTGCCAGGGCCTCGCGCAAAATGTGGACAAGCACGAGGACCGCCAATTTCTTGGCTAAAGCGTGCCAATTTCAGCTACGATTGGCTGGAAGTTTTCAAAACGACTGTAACGGTGGCAAATGTGTGCCTGGGGGCACGGTAACTGGTGCGCTCGGCCCCTCGAACTGCTGCGGTTTCGTTCAAGATGCTGCATGTTGGTGCTGGACCAGCCCAGCAGCAGTTCTTCTTCCTGTTACCTCCATTCTCTTTCCCCCCTC